AATATTTATTTATTCATTTATTTATTTATTTTTTGTCTTTTTGAGACAGGGTCTCCTTGTAGCCCCAGCTGTCCTAGAACTCACTATGTAGACTACTATGTAGCCTCAAATTCACAAAGATCCACCTGCCTCTGCCTCCCAAGATGCATTTATTTTTAACATATGTTTGTGTGTGTCTAAGTGTATGGCTGTGCACCATGTGAGTGCAAATGCCTGTAGAGGCCAGAAGGGGGCAACAGTTCCCCTGTGACTTTAGTTATAGATGGTTGTGAGCCACAGGATGTGAGTGCTGAGAAACAAACCCAGGTCCTCTGCAACAGTAGCAAATGTTCTTAACTGTAGAGCCATCTCTTCAGTCCCAACATTCTCATTTTTGAAAACAAAAATAATACAAGTAAAATTCATTTGTAACTTTTCATTATAGACTGTCCCTCAATCAATCTTTAGATATTTATCATTTTCTTAAAGGAAAATAAACACTGAATTTTGTCCATAACTGATATAAAAGGATTTTTCTTTTCTCATAAACACCCACGTGGAAGCTGTGCCCTCACTGAAGATCCTGAACGAAGAGACCATTCCAGTCTCATGACAGTCTAGTTATAAACAACCTAACCTACACTGCAAAAGTAAGAGTAGGTCTTTCTGGTAGTAATGAACAGAAATTTTTAAATTTTAATTACATGCCTTTATGATTCCTTCTTCCTGATGTTAATAGTATATGCTAGAATATTCTATGTAAATAATTGTTGGGCTGAAATGAGAAAGAAACTCTAAATGAAAGTATTTATACCTTGAGCAATGAAAACAAGATATTATTATCTTGGATGACCTTTCCTAAATATGGGATACAGCATTTTACACAATAGTTTCTTGGTTCATGCTTCAATTACTGACCTTTACTGTGTAGAAAATTAATGCAATTTTCATTGCGGTCCATCTGTACAAATAAGATCCACACGGAAGGACTCCACATATGGAATCTAATACAAATAGGAAATACTGAGTGCTATTGGCTGAACTCAGTCATTATCTGTTTGCCTGAGGTCCCTAGAAAACTACACTTGTAACAAGCAATTTCTTACATGAACCATTTGGTATAAGAAAGAAGGATTTCTCTTTCTTCAAAGTTTAGTTGGTTTCTTTAAAGTCCCAAATCTAGTTACCTGTAATATCTATGTGCTATCAGAAAAGAAAAGAAGGCAAAATTGTGGCATCCAATCAAGTTTCTAATGTAGATGACAACATTGTGCTTTTAACAAAAAGAAGCAGCCACAGGCTACAATGATACCATTTACAACCGTTTCCAGTCTAGACAAATAAAAGTGTGACAGACCACAGACCATCTCCTGGTCTATGCACTGGAGACAGACAGAATATGGGAATGCATTCATCTCCTGAGGAAGCTGGGCCAAGAGGCCCAGGAAGGCTTTCATCTTCCAGTCATCTGTGATGATATTAGTTGGGAAGGGGTATTGGCAATTAAGGAGTGTCACTCTCAAGATAGATAGCTTGGGTAGAAAAAGAGTTTCTCTCCTCCTCTGGTTTTGCATGGAATGGCTGTATGTTTATAATTTGTAAATAGTTCCTCTTGGCCCTGGTGTATTACACATCACAGAGGCATGTTCTGACAGGCCTAACACACAGCAGAAGCCACTAGGCTCAGTGAGGAAGACCATTCAGGCATCCCCTGCAGTGGGGAGTCATCCTGTCACTGCCTGGCAAGGTCTTAGAGAAGGACATCATGAGAAGAAATGATGCATTGGGACACACATGAGGCTGTGCACTCAAGAAGTCTTAATGTCCAATTTCAAATTTAGCAAATCTAGTTTAATGAATTCCCAACAGAAGCAAAAGTGGCATGATCTGGGCAGAGATTAAAAAGTATGCCAGGCTCCCCTAGTAGCAGAAAGGTATGTTAGTCAGAGAAGCCACAAATAGAAATCTTTTTATTCTAAATTTTAGACCCTTTCCTTTAGGATATTCCATAGAGATATAAAATTGAGGAAGCAAAATACCATGGTTATATCTAAGCTTTGAAAAATGTGTATTGGAATATCTTAATAGAAACATCTCAGAAATGATGTTACCCTGGAGAGAGTGAGGAGAGCCCCACTACCAACCCTCTCCACATGGAACAGGCTGATAGAACTATTGTATGTAGGTCCATGCTAGGATACAGTTGAGCATGGTCCATCTCTGTGGGCACTGCTTTTAGATGTTCTCCACAGCATCCTTGCCCACAGACTTGAAGCACAGCACAGGTGGTTCAATCTCCAGACCCCCAGGTATCTCATGAAAAAAACCACGCGGGGCAACCCTCTGGTCTAGACTCAAGATTGGACTGCGTTGCTTGACAGGTTGTAGTAGAGTGCTATTCTCTGAGCATAACAGACAGCATCTTCATCAGAGAAGCTGTGACTACTTGTAAGAGACCCTCAAGATCTGGTGTGTTGATCAGTGACATTCCCTCAGAGAAGAAAAAGAAGGGAAGGGTCATGGGACCCTCACCTGAGATCCAACCACTACTACCTGCTCTTCCCAGTCATCTGCATGTGATTCTGCACTAATATAGGAGCCAGTCTAGGATCTTATTAAAGACCAGGAGTGGGTTACTACACATGGCTCATGGCCTCTGGGGATGCTAGAGTATATAGACTGCAGAAGGTTAACTGAGAGGGGGAACTTCATTTGTGTACCTGTGCAAAAGTTGTCATCTATGTTGAGGTAGGATTTTTCAGTGTTATAGCTGCTCTGGGGTCACGCATGCTCTTGCAAATAAGCCCAATAACTCATTGGTTTCCCAAGTGTGACTTTGATGGGACTATCCTGTGGTTTTTCATTTGTTCCCTAGTATGAGTGAGCAGCCATTGTTTTTAACCTTCACAAGCAAAGAATTCACACAACACATGTGCCTGACTGTTAATTCCACTGCTTTTATGTTTAGTCAGATATTTTTATTTTTTAAGCTAGCATCTCATTCTATATCCAAGGCTTTCCTCAAACTCACAGCAATTCTCCTGCTTCCATCTCACAAGTACTGGGATTCCAAGTATAAGCCATGGAAACATGGTTCTGTACCTAAGGGGTGAAGGAGGTCCTCTTTTCATGGATGGCTCATTTAAACACATTTGGATGAACAAAAAGAAATCTGCTTCATTTTTCGAGCTTTGGTTTATAAAAATTTTAAATTTTACGCACAGTGATATCATGATAAAATAAGAAATAAATATACGTATATATACACATATATAATATATGTATATAATATACGTATATATATGTATATATATATTTGGCCCTTGTTCTTGTCTGTGGGCCGGAACTTCCAAAGCTCTTGGAATTGGGAGGTGACGAGAGCAGAGTAGGAACAGGTTTTCTACATTTCTTTTTGTTCTCAGACATGAAATAGCTCCAAATCTAGAATGGGGAAGGAGAATTTTGCTGCTTGTAACAAGCCCCTTTCAGTCACACCAGAGTTTAAGTCAAGTCGGTGGCTTTTGGAAAGCTCTAACAATGGGGAATACCTACCATGGGAACCCCCAAATGAAGAGCTGGTTCCTCTGTCACCAATGGCTACCAACTCAACTTAGCATAGAGAAGCTTCCCCATGAACAACAATAGAAGCCCAAAACAAAGTCCAAAGGTTTCTGAGTAGATGACTGTAGGGAGTTACTGTGCCTACAGTGAATATGGCCGCTCCACACTTTCCCATCCTGCTCCCATAAATCTCTGCTCTTTGGCTGTTCCTGAATTATATACTTTATACTAAACCAGCAAACAGAAATGAATATTTATGAGTTTGGTAAGTCAGTTTGTGAGCTTATAAAACTCCAAGAATGGGTTATGTGAACTCCAACTAATAACTGGTCAGTCAGGACAGGAACCCACCCTTGCAACTGATACCTCATATCAATTTAAAATCATTTAATTACTACTTGAATTTTTTTTGTCAAACTTCATGCACTGAACTTGGTCATGACTTAATATTGAATGCTTTCATTCAGAATTCATATGAATTACAACAATTACTCAAGAAAAATGTTGCACTGGTACTATCTTTATTTTGAAAACATAGATTTATTCTTAAAATACATCATCCTCTATTCTATTTCTTCTGTTAATGATCATATTTGCACAACAGCTAAGATTCACTCGGTAATCCACCCATTTGCTTCAAATGGGCAAAACCATCTGGTCCACTCAATTAATTTAAGGCTCTCGTGTCATGGAGCCAGTCTCCGAATTAATTTTGAATCAATGGGCATTTATATTGCACACTGGCTCCTCAGGTTCTCCTTTCTGCCCTTCCTTTCCCACAGGCCTCCTCCATGCCATCATCCCTGGCCCCTCACACCCCAGGTTTTAAGGAACTGAAAGTCCATTAAGCTCAAAGCATTTCATTTGGCACTTCCCTGTCTTTTTTTTTTTTATTTCCATTTTGTTCCAGAAGGTTTGTCTGAAAGTGTAATGACAACAAAAGCAGCAGACTTGAGAGATTCTCCCAGGAGAAGCAAAAGGACAGATGTACACAGACATATAGCAGAAAACGCTGCCAACAGCAGCTGGGAAAGTGACAGGCTCGGAAGTGGGTGACCACCCCACAGCGCAGTCCTGAACCGAAAGCAGCGGCCATTTCCCTTGATTTGCTCTTAACTTCCCAGGCTACCTTTTACCTACAAAGAAGAAAGATAATCTTGGCTTGTATCCTGATTCTTAGAACATTTCAGTTATTTCTTGTGTTTTAACTTATTTCAACCTCATTTTCAAAAATCTTAGGACCCTAAAATCACCATATTCACCAAATGATGTACATGTATTAAAACTATTATGTAAGTTTAAAAAAACAAGGAACTATTTTAAATAAGTAATATATTGACTTTTTAAAATTCAAGTGTTAGTATACTCTGTAACGCCAAAAGTCAAAACAGACACAGGCTGGGGGAACACAACCTGGTTGCCATCAGTTCCTAGGAAGACTCTGTCATGAGTGCACTCACCTTATCTTCCTCCTCCTCATCCTCATCTATGTCTGTGCTCTCCTGGAAAGAAACCCCATAATTTATTAATTAAGAAAACATTATTCAACGTTACTCAATGCCAATCAAACTCACATTTTTTTAGGTTTTTCTACAGAACTGAAGTTAGTAGGTTTTTAAATTCATTATTACCTCTTGTAAATCATAATTTTAAATTTCAAAGACACTGTGGAAATACTATAAAAATATGCATAATCTACATGAAGTCATTAACTATATAAATAAAGTATTAGGTGAGTGCCCTTTGAAGGCATCCAGCTTCAAAACTGTATCACCGACTTGTCTCTGTAAACAGTTTCATTTTGACAAATGAAACTGTTAAGGCTGAGAATACCAATCTCATAGTTATAATGACTATTCTTTTCCTTTGGGGCCATTACTGAAACATTACACTGTAGAAAATGCATTAGTCTGAATATAATCATTCTTAAGAATAAGTTACAGATTTTTATGTAGTGTCATTTTAATATTTTTTTTTTCGCTTGGGTTTGGTGTGAAAGGAACAGAGAAGGAAAGGAAACTCAAGGCTCTGATCTTGACTAACCGGTACCCGGCTTTCGAGCAGGTGCCAAGAGTTCCAGCTGTGTTGCTAAAGGGCTGGTTTAGATCAGGTAGAAGTCCTGTCTATGTAACAGGAACATTTAAAATCATACAATTGCAATGTCTAAAAGTGAACATCACTTGCTACATAAAAAGATGGGTTCATGAGTAGGGAAAGAATGGTCACTATTAGAAAAACAGGGTCTATTTTAAACTTGAACACTTACCTTTCTGCTTAACAATACAAAGTTCAGGCTGCTATTTAATACTGTTCCATCAGTTTTTTTTTTAAGTCCATATTGTTCTGTTAAAAGAAGTCACTGTGAAGTGATCTGAGTACCTGCTGTATTCCATCAAACCTCTGAACATCCAAGAAACTTCACTGAACTAGCACCTCCCTCTGACGATCCTCTAAAGCTTCAGCTAGCAGTTTGGGTGACACTCATGGACCTTAAGGGGGCTATCTTATTTGCTACTGGGACTGGTCATGTTTCATGAATGCCAATAGATTCATGGGAATGAAATGAATACAGATCATGTGAGTGAACACACTGTAATTAGGGAAGTTAGACATCATCAGCTTGGGACATGATTTCAGCATAGTTTATCTCTGTGACTTTGGGCCCATTACTCTGTCACTCTGAACTTGGATTTCACCTGGCATAAAATAAAAATGGGAGGTTGTGCCTCCTTCATAGCTGTATTATCAAGATTGAATTTTAATATGTCTTCAAAATTGAAAAGGCTTTAACAACGCATATTTGCATCCCTATATAGAAAAGATATCTACACACACACACACACACACACACACACACACACACACACACACACACACCTGTGCACTTGTAAGCATGCATATACCCAACACACACATGTGGACAGACATATAGTATAAGTAGGTAGACTATATATGCGACAAAATAAAATTTGATTAAGCGTTTCCACAGTGTGAGTTGACATCATTTGCTATTACAGATGTTTCCCTTCAAATTTTTCTCTAGTTTATATTCTTACAAAACCTAGTCCATAAATAGACCCAAGTCTTAAACATGATTTTAAATTAGTTGGTTCTTCAGTCTTATTAGTATATGTCCATGGCTGCTACATTAAAGAGCTTAATCAATCAGAAGAGCATCTGAAATTGCTTGAGGGTCTACCTCGGCCACGTGCGCATGTTTTCACCCTGCTACCCTTTCTCCACTCTAAATGAAACCTTACATGCCATTCTTTCAAATATGAATTTTTTAAGATGAGAATATAAGTAAAATAGAATAAATGGTTGTCATTTGATCAGGGGCAACTCCAAGTGTAATAGATTTTTAAAAATTTATTTTCATTTTATGTGTTTGAGTGTTTTGCATGCATTTAAGTGCATCACATGCATCAATGTCCATGGAGGTGAGAAGAGGGCATTGGATGCCTTGGAACTAGACTTATGGATGGTTGTTAACCTTCATATGGGTGGTGAGAACTGAACATGGGTCCTCTGGAAGAGCATCCAGGTCTCTTAACCTGTGAAACCATCTCTCAAGCCCCTAATGGAAAGTTTTAGAAAGATGAATCATGAAGTATAAAATTTTAACTAAAAAAAAAAAAAACTTGTTAAGTCAGGAATACCAAAATTCAATATTAAAGCTAGTCTACAAATACAAGTTCCTGAAAAATACCTTATGAGTTGAGATGAGATGAGTGAAGTCTGAAAGGCCAGAGGACAAATAGGCACCAAGGGATGTCCTTCAGAGAAGGCTTTGTTTATGTGTCTTTTCACATGAAAAGACTGAGAACTATGAGGAAATTTTGGGCCACCTGAGAATGCAATTGTCCATTTGCTGAGCACCTTGAGAGCTGGCACTCCCCAAAAACCACAGTGGACCTTCAGGCTAGAGAAGGAAAGGCCTGAGCCATCTTTCCACAGAATTCTACAGTGCACTATAGGGCCTTGCAGAACCTCCAAAGGTTTTGTTCTAGTGGTTTAACAGATCATTAATGGGAACCCTAGGAAACCACGTGGGCATACAGACTTCCAGGATGGAAAGGACAGCCAAGAGCCAGAGGGCTCCTCCCATACTGAGCACATCAGCTGAGACTTAGGGATACAAGACACAATGAAAAGAAGATTCTGTAACACATGAGTGAATACCTGCTCAGAAAACTGTGTACTTGTACCAGGCTATTTCCTCAAGTTTCAAAGTGAACTTGGGACATAACTGAGTCCTGACCGTTACTGACTGCTGTTATTTCAATTCACCAGGAAACTGGAAGACCTTGCTCTGTGCATCTTTGCTCACCTGGCTCTCCTGGGTACCACCAGTCTTGCCTTTCATGGGTCTGAGGAAGTTGTGGATGAAGAGCAGTAGTAAAGCCAGGGGAATCATGTAGAGCTCAAAATTCCATACCGTAACCAAAAATACCTGATGGGAAGACAAAAAAAAAGAGCCTATAACTGTTGAAAAAAAAAAGCAGAGGGGAGGAATTTTATGTTCCTGATCATTGACATGAAGAGATTAAACTTATAAATAGCACCAAAAAGGGTATAGGTGTGTGCACAGGTGTGTACAGCGTGAATTTAGTTTTAGAAATCTTATCATAACAAGAAGATTGACTTAGTTAGTTGCAGCCTGGAACAATGAGAGGATCCTCAAATCCATTTGGGATGGGAGGTGTTGAGATGGCAGTGGTTAAGAGCTCCCTTTCTCTTCCCAAGGACTCAAGTTTAGTTCCCAGAACCCACACCAGGTGTCTCAGGATCACCTGTAACTCCAGCTTCAGGAGAGGTGATGCCTTTGGGAGCATCTCCACACACACATGGCATGGCATACATACATACCTGCACACACACACACACACACACACACACACACACACACACACAAATAAATCTTTAAAAACTCTCCATTTTTTCTGTCAACTACATTTAAAATTGTTGCTTCTTGATTTTAGTAATAAATTAAAGAGAAAGCAGTATGGAAAATTCCAAGGTACTAAGGAGCCAAGGCACGATTTGAATATTGCTATCAGTGAGTGAAGATGATTTGAACTAGGGAAAAAGATTACATTTAAAATGGATGCCAAAATTTTAAAAATACAGATAACTAAGGTACAACATTTATGTTTCCAAACTCTCTCCACCTTCAGAAAAGCTGTTTCTTGCAGCAGATGATAATAAACACAGAGACTCATAACTTTCAAATGTCCAGATATTAAGAGATTATGGAATGCTGGCCCTACATGGGGCGTCTATATTACACCTTCTCTCCCGAAGGCTCAGGGATTGTTGTGGAAGAGGGTATGGAAAGACTAAGAATCAGAGGTGGTGGATGATAAAGAAACTTTTCAGGATACAATAGGGCATCACCCACATTAACTCACAGAACTGTGATAGCATGCACAAAACTCACACAAGACCAAGCCAGATTAAAACCCAGCATGGAGGGGGAGATGGGCAAGAAGGTCCGTTCCTAGCTGTGAAACTATTGGTAAATAAATAGCTTCTGGAAGAGGAAGACTAAGTTTTAAGTGTACGAGGCTGTGTAGGTTGACTAGTGGCCAAGGGAAGGACCCACATCCAAGAGCATTTGGGGAACACAAATTAGACTTGATATGCCTTTGAAAAATACAGGAGATGAAGTGAAGGGGGATATGGAGGTAGAGGTAGATCTGAGAGGAGATAAGGGAAGGGGTATGAATTATGATCAAAATACATTGTATGAAATTTCAAAGAATCAATAAGAATATTATTTTTAAAAAGAACCTTAAAATAAACCAATTGTGAGATTATAGGTCTCTAAGAAAATAACTGGGTATTACTTATGACATTAGTTAAACAGGGTATGTGTATGACTAGTCAACTCTCCATCAGCCTCTGAGGTATAACTAGCCCAATCTCCATCGGATGCCTTTGAGATTTATACCCTCTACTGTGGAAGGGCAAGTAAGAGTTTGGGGATTGAGAGCAAGTGCCTCAACTATAGTGTTAAGTAGAACATGAGTGAAAGCAAAATAACTCCACCTCTAGGAAACTCAGGGCTTGGGACAGAGCATAGGATAGCAGTCCTGTGGAAATTACTTCAAAATATGAGCCTTTCTTTCTTTGTGACCTCACACATATTCTAAGGGATGAAATAACATGATTTGTATGTATTAACTGCTAGATTGTAGAAAAAAATACTTCGTTTACCTGATTAACTTAGAAAAGGCAGATTACTGCATTTTAAATGTAGAAATTTCCTATCCCAAAACAATATTGTTTAATTGCTGAAAACTTTTTCCCTAATATTTTGACACTTTGTTTCTATAACTCTTATGTATTTCTTATAGGTTTTATTTTTGGTTGCTATGTGAATAAAATAATTTCACCCATTATATTTTTAAAATCTGATTATGGTTTGCATGCAAAAGCTTATAATGTGAATATATTCATTTTTTAAATTAGCATCCTTACTGAATATTTTGTTGTTTCATTTTTTTTGATTCTTCTGGGGTTTTTAAAAATATATTCACGCGAACTTCAAAGAAGAAATCTCTTGTGTTTCCCCCTTTCTCATATTTGCAACTTAGTTCTTCTTATTTACTTTCATTACTCCTACAAAACAATGTGCATAAAGCTGTTGAGAGGAAGAATATTGCCTAATTCCCGATTTTAATGAAAATTATTCTGGTGTTCCACTTTTCTGCCATTAAGTATGATGTTGGCTTTTAGTTTTTGCTACATAAATCATATCATATTAAGAATACACACAAAATCCATTCCCTTTTATTACTAGAAAATTTATATAGGCCTTCATTTTATTAGTCTTGATATCTTTCAAATATTTTAAAAGCAATCTTTTGCATCTGCTCCAAATTTAATGAAAATATTTTTAAACAGTAAAATTTTCATCCATTCTAATAAGGGTTTATTTCATGAGTATTACCTATTAACTCAGTAATGGATGGCAATGGATCAACTATTTGGGGATTTCTTTTTGGTATCTTCTAAAGTAAAAAGGATATTATCCTTCACATTTTAAGATATTAATATGATGTATTCTATGTTTATTAATATGATGCATTTTGTGCTTCAATCACAAATTGAAGGAATCTTGTGCTTCTTGGAGAAACCCCTTTTCACTGAAGTACAACAGTCTTTTAATGCATTGTTATATGACACTCACTAACACAGAAAGCAGTTGTACATTGATGTATCCATTGTGTATTTCCTGTTATCTGTATTATTTTCAAGTTTTGATATTAGAGTCATTATGACATCACATAAACTTTCATCTGCTCTTTATGGCAAATGCAGTATTGTCTGTTACTAAATATTTTAAGATTACAAAAAATACAGATGATTTAGCAAACACCACCCCAAGCATTATGACTTCTGAATGTGCCTGCTGTCATTTTTCTTTGTGGTTTACTTATTTTTCAAGTTTCAATACTAAGATCATTCAGATAGTTGGCCCCACTGTCAACTCTCCACATATCCTGAAGACAATTATCTCTTACAAATGATGAATCCTTCTCAACCAAGAACAGTTTAAGTAGATATAATACCATTGTTTTGTGGTGTGTGTGTGTGTGTGTGTGTGTGTGTGTGTGTGTGTTGTATACATTTCTTAGGTATACTTTTTTCATTCTTCTGGTGTTACTAAAAATATATTCACATGAACTACAAAGAAGAAATCTCTTCTGTTTCCCCTTTTCTCATATAGAACTTGGTTTTTCCTACCTGATTTCATGACTCCTATAAAGGTGTAATTAAATTATACACCCAAATACCACTGAATGTGCAAAGACAAGTTTCTAGTTATATGTATTAAAATCCTGTGAAATGTGTGAGTATGATACTTAATAACAACCCATATTCTCTTGGTGGTGTATGCATAATCAATAACATTCAGTTTACCTGATATACTTCCCCACTCAAAGAAATATTTCCCAATGTATCCATTACCTTTTTATCAATGTGAAACAATGGCTTTATCTTTCCTTATATAGTTAAATATATTAACCTGAGGGCTGCGCCTTCAAAAGCCAATGTTCTACTAAAGGAGTCTTCTTTGACTCTGAAATGATAAACCTCTTTTCTTTTACATGATAATTGCATGTGTATGACCTTTATTTTTGTTTTGATTATTTTGGTTACTGTTACAAACAAGCATCCAATTTAAAATTTTCACCTTATAGTCACTTTAGCCAGTAAATTTCTATGTTCATCTACACCTTTCTTTTTCATCTACAGTGCCATTTCCATCTCAAATCTGCTGAAGAAATCTCAGCAGTCGCTTTGGCAGGAAACAGATGAATTAAGGTTATGCCTCAAATCAGGATTTTAATACACGTAACAGGAAATGTTCATTTATACCTTCATTTAGATCAAAAGATGGTTCTTCCACATTCCCTGATCTCTTTTCTTATACCAAGGTTTCATTTGGAGATCTGATATATAGAAATGACATAAACTGTAACAATGATGATTTTTCTTTCAGATCTGAGTGTGCATTAGGTCTTTTGAATGGTTTTGTACTTCTGACTCAATGACAACTGCAGTTGCATTGCTGGTACCAGTGGGATAACATTTCAGAAATGGCAGAAACCAGAATGAAAATAAAATATCACTTTAGAATACCGAGAGCTATTCAAAGCAAGGCTCATAACATTAACCTTATAGAATTTGTAATATATTTAGATAGAAACAATGAAAGCTAAATTATAAGTAAGGGTATGGGTGAGTGGGCATATTGATCAAATTAAGATATAATGTTATGTATTAGGTGGCGATGCAATGCTAACCCAAGTTGGACTACTAAGTTAACAGAAAGCAATGAACATATGTACAAAATAATTTTTAGCACACGTATTTTCTTTATGTCTTCCTCATACTCTATGATTCTCTCTTTGATACACACATGAAAGAGTAGATAAAGTGAAAAGAAAACAATAATCTTAAACAGTAACTTAAAGACAAGAAAAAGAAAACAAAGAAGAAACCATAGAAAACTGGAAAATAATTAAATGTTCATCTAAATCCAAGAATATGTTATGTGCATTAAGTGCTAATGTAATAAACACTATAAACATAAATAGGACAGATAAACATAATAACTCTATGGAAAAATTCAGAAACAAATAAATGGAAAAGTTAAGGCAAAATACAGCTTAAGATAATTGAAAAATAATTGGATCTGTGATAAAAATATGTCACCACTAAGAAAATTTTGGGTGCAAATTCTTTCACTGTTGAAATGT